GGATTTTTTCCTCTTTTCTTTTTTTTTTTAAACGTTGAGCGCTGGTTTCAATTTCCTTATCCTAGGATAGCGTTACTAATTAACTTCCGAAGGATTTTTAGTTAGAATTTATTTTTATCACTCATTTCATAATGGTGATTAAATACAGCATTATCGTACGAACGAAAATTTAAATTAATTTTCAAATATTTTTCTAAAAAAAAAAAAAACGAAGCCTTTTTAATATCCAATTATACAAGAGACCTTAATGTAGAGGATATATTTCATCGATCGCCTTCTATTTATCTAAGATGACTTTGCAACTTGCGATAGGAATAAATTCAATACGCGCTTATAAATCCAATGAAAAATTTATCAACACCCATCCAACGAAAAGAAACTTTATAGAAACTAAAAACGATATTGCACGGAGAGAATTACAATTACTTTCGAAGAAAATTAATTTTAAATAAGTTCGAATCTATTCAATCAATTCTATACCGAAATTAATTATAAATTTCGGATAAAGAATTCGAATCTCGTTTGTTCGAACCTACGATTCGTTCGATCCCATCACTAGTTGCAATACCTCAAGCTTAACGATTCTGTAAAGGCTACCACTATTTGTCGAATTGAATCACGTTAATCCATTCGTGATTCCGCGATCGAATTGCGGCACGATAGTCTCGGAGGATCCAGGAGCAGATCCTTAGATCGACTCGTGGTGAACACTCGTTAAGAACATTCCTAAGGGGACCGGCCTAAAGCCCCTCCTCCCCCTTCTGTCCCTTCGAAAGCTGAGCTCCGGATACGATCTGGTAGTTAGACGGTAGTTCTCGAGCTCGATCTCGCACAATGCAGCCGTGATTTGTCGACTTTGGACGAGATCAATGTGCACTGTACGTGCAATCAACCTGGCTGCATTGCCGTGTATAAGCCGATTCGAAAAATCCTCTCCAGCTAATTAAAGGTGGAGAGTGAGTGAGCGAATGAAAGAAAGAGAGAGAGAGAGAGAGAGAGAGTTGTGCAACGCTTGCAGTATGAGGTATTTCCAGAGAGGGAATAGGGCAACTTTTCTCCGAGTGCTGTTTGTTCTCGTTCGTGTTCTTTTCTTCTTTATGTATTTGTCGAACACTTTTGTTTGTTGAAACTGCGTTTGAACATTCGTTTTACTTGGATTTTATGAATGGAGAAACGTTAACGTTTCACTTTGAAAATTTTCATTTTTGCACAGTTTGAAATGCGAATGGAGGAATAAAGATTTAAGATCAGAAATATATATATATTTTTTTTGACAATTTCTGAACGAATGTTTTCTAAAATCAAGATTTTATTCGTTTTACTATTTTTATATACTCGTCTTTGAATCGATCATGCAATATATAATATTCTCAAGTACTAAGAAATGGTGGGGATAGCTCGTAGCCAATGAACGTTCAAATTCGTGATACACCAGATCACTTAACAAATGTTCCACCAGAGCTCCCTCTTTATCTTCGCGACGAAACTAACCTATTCTCGCGTACGCGCGATAGAGGTTAGGTCGACATGGCCGCTAACTCATTGCCAGGCAAACGCGTAGGTATCGTACGAGAGGGCATACTTCGATTCACTTCGAGTCTATACCGAGTCGCTATCTTGGGCAATTGTGTCCGCACGAGGCAACAGGCGACAAGTCAGCTGGTGCGACACAACGAGATCTCGCGCCTTTTCGTGATTTTCTGCTCTTAGGCGTGTCAGTGGCCGATAGTATACCGACAAATCGCCGCGGCCATTGTGATATCCTTGTCAAACTACCGTTCCGTGGGTTTTCGTTCGATCGCGTGGAATGAAGCACTTGGGCGTTCGGCTGTAACTTTGACAGATAAGATCTGGACTCGCCTGTTGCCGTTCGCGGAAAATTTTTTCCCCCCTCTAGACTATTTTAGTAGCCTCCAGACTTGTCGTTTCGAAGTGGGTGTTAATGGAATTCCACGTTTTTCCCGCCGTTTCTTCCAAAGCGACGTTTTAATAGAGCGGTCTTGGCCGATCGCGGACAGTTTTTATTGTCGTAATAAAACATTTCTCAAACTTTTACGTCGTAAACGGTGATTTACTCGCCGTGGAACGTACGCGTCGAGGTAGGTGTTGAAGGAATTATAATCTTTTTTCCAATTCTTTATTGGCGTTCGAGAAACGAATAGGCGTTCGCTCTTTTAAAAATTTCGATATAATCCTTCCAACCAATACACCATATATTATTATTGCTATATCAATTTTTCAATAATTCAGAACCGTAAGATCACGTCAAATGATCGATATATTTACGGAACACTTTCGAAGATCGAAGATATTATTTTCAATCTTCTAATCAATCCTTCAAAATAGATATTAACGTAGTATTATTAATTTCTTCTTCGCGTCAGAATTTTTCATCGCGAAGGGACAGGAACACGGGTACGAAACACGTTTAAACCGAGGCAGCTAAAATATTTGAGAATCCGTATTTATTGGGTTATAACTCGGCCCGGCTATTCAATCTGATAATTGAAGGTGGCCGGCCATTGCTCGTGGCTCGATCGGCAGAGCAGGATGGCTGGGTCGATCGCGTAGCAGTCCGGTTGAAGTTGGAGCCGGTTTCGCGCATTGCTACCGTACTAAAATATTGTTCGCCGTGGGTGGCTTTATGGGGTTCGCTGATGTAAGGCCCTTTCCGATTCCCTCTCTTGTCAGATACAAACTTATTGATAGTTGCAGCGTTGTAGTCTACCGGCCTGTATCTGGCTGGTATGCCACGGCTATCGCCACGCAACCCGGGCTACGGCACACACCGGAGGGGAGAGAGAGAGAGA